TTTCTTTATTTTTTAACCACACATTTTTTATCAATATATTATTAAAAAATTCATGTTCTTCACAAAAATGAGGCTCAAACAAAGGCTAAATTTGACCTAAAAGATTCAATTCATAATCAATGCTCTTTAAACATTAAAATAAATCAATAAATCAATAAAGATCAAAATAGAGGGGGTGAATCTGTAATTTATCTGTGATTAGACTTGCCGGGTTTATTTCTACTGTAGTTATACAATCCCTTCTGAATGAAACTGACTAAACCCTGAAGGGTATGTATATAGTATATATCTATTTCTGCTTGCAAATTTACTGTACAATGAAATGACGCATAATGAGCGTGTTTTGTTTCTTTGTGGGGGATTTTTTGCTTCTTTCTGGTAATCAAGTTGGAAGCTTTCTGATTGGTTGAAGACCCACCCAGTCATAACCCACGCCACCCACATCCCGGATTACTCTTTTTGAAGGTGAAGGCTTATAGCTTAAAAGCTGATTAAAAGTGTCTTTCTATTATTTTTTCCCCATTGTTGCTGCTCTATATTCGGTAGTTCCATCATCCATCTTTCGCATTTTCGAAATTAATTATTCTGCTTACCATGTTCCAAATTCTTTGCGGTTGAGATGGATTTTGAACAAAAAGTTCCAATGATAAGTAACTATCTCTCTTCTTCTTCCTCCCACCCATCATTTTCTGCCGAAAATGGAAACATCAGTAAAAGAAAAAGAAGGCCACCAGGAACTCCAGGTACAATTTAAGATTCAGTTTTGTTCATAAAATTATCTATTATTTATTATTTTCAGTTGTTAATTATAAGTGCAATGAATTAATTGTTATGAGTAATAGATCCAGATGCAGAAGTCGTATCTTTATCCCCAAAGACTTTATTGGAATCGGATCGATACGTTTGTGAGATCTGCAATCAAGGGTTTCAGAGAGACCAGAACTTGCAGATGCATAGGAGAAGGCATAAGGTGCCATGGAAGCTGCAAAAGCGCGAAACGCCAATAGTGAGAAAGCGCGTATTCGTGTGTCCAGAACCTACTTGCCTTCACCATGATCCTTGCCATGCTTTGGGTGATCTTGTGGGAATTAAGAAGCATTTTAGAAGAAAACACAGTAATCATAAGCAGTGGGTTTGTGAGAAATGTTCAAAAGGATATGCTGTTCAATCTGATTATAAGGCTCATCTCAAAACCTGTGGAACTCGAGGCCATTCCTGTGATTGTGGCCGTGTTTTCTCAAGGTACGTAAGATTAATATAGGAGATTGGAATCAGTAGGTAAAACTTGAGTGTCCCAACTAGATTGGCCATTCTTTAGCACGCTCATCATTTACCCCATCACTTCCTTTCAAGATTTATCTATTGTATTCAGTGCAGAATACAGAATGTTCAATTTTGACAAAATCAGTAGAAGTTCAAGGAAGTAAGCATGTGAAATCCATAATAAACTAGGTTTTGACTGATGTGGGCTTCATATATATTTTAAGGAGAGACAATTTATAGATAGTTAAACACAGTTCCCTAGTACCAAAATGGGATCTGGTGAGTTTTGGTTTGACAATCGTTTTAAACTCTTTTAGAATTCCAATTCCGCTTGTTCAAGCATCTAACATCTTATACAAATTTGAGAGGGAAAGTAAAACCTGACCTCAAGCCAACGAAATATATATTAACATACATATTATGAAACGGTGCATTCTTTTGCTAGGGTGGAGAGTTTTATTGAACATCAAGACTCGTGCAGTATGGGGCAGCTCCGAGCAGATTCACACGCATTACAGTCTACTGCTTACCTGACCCGAACAGCGTCAGGCCCCAGTCCCTCCAGTGACTCCAATCTCAGTAATGTTGCACCATGGCCTATTTTCATGACCAATGTGTGTGAAAGTAGGAATTCAAAACCTGCATTTTTAGAGCTACAGCTGTTAACAAAACCCCATGTTAATGGAGAGGAACAGTCGATGCATTTGCAGCTGTCCATTGGTTCATCAGGAATCTGTGAGAAAAACGAAATGGATAACGCAAATATAAGCAGATTTTCTCCAAGGAAGAGTGGCACTAGCGAGAAAGTGTCGAGAGTTAAAGAACAAGAGCAAGAACTGTTAAGACTCGTCCTAGCTGAAAAAGCATACGCTGAAGAGGCAAGAATACAGGCTAAGCGGCAGAGTGAACTTGCTGAGCACGAATTTGCCTGCGCCAAGAGAATTAGGCAACAAGCGAGAGCCGAGTTGGAGAAAGCACAGGCCTTGAAGGAACACGCTATTATGAAGATCAATTCAACCATTTTGCAACTCACTTGCCATTCTTGCAAACAGAAGTTCCAAAAGGGAATAACAGAAGCATCGACTCCCTTCGAGAATGCATTCGGGTTGAGCTACATATCATCTGCTCTAAGAGAAACCGCTGATCGTTTAACATTTTGTGAACTTTGAATTCTTCAATCTGTTCACGGTAATTAACCCATTTGCATGCATGTTTTGTATTTCGAACTGGTGTAGACATGTGATTAGAAGCCTAGTGGGTGTCATCGTAAGCGAGGAATGTGTTTCTTAATGGGTTCTGTATTCAAAGATTGCTCGATTAGTTTGATCATTTTATTTGAAGCTGCCTGATTGAACGAGGTTAAAAATGACTTTTGAGTTAAAATATTAGAGCTTGATTATTCTTGAAATATTGTCAATGTGAGGTTCTCTTGCATTTTCTTAGGAGGTGATCTCCAAATCCAAAAATTTTCTAGAGATAAAAAATCAAGAATGAAAACTAAATTTATGTGTTCGAGTTATGCTTCGTGTTATCACGCATTTAGTTAGATATTTGACAGGCTGTTATCCCTGTTTGAATTAGATTATGATGATTCCAGCATTCGACGATATACTCCATAGCTAGATAATCTATTAGATAATCCATTTCTCCATTGGTATTTTCAAACATATTGCTTGTGTAATCTTATTTTGGATAGAAAGGCACCGTCTCTCCTCTGAAATCGTAACTGTCCTCATAGATCTCGGTGCTCGAATTTTTCAAAGCAGAAAGAAAGTTGCTTCTTTATTAAAGGTTGAACCCCAATGTTAAGGGTTTCCATCGCCCTGCCCTTAGAACATCGTGAGAGAGGTTAATTGCGGGATGTGTCCCAGCAGACTAGGGAACAAGAACTGTCTGTACACTGATACCCACAAAGAGTCCCAATTCATGTTTTAAGAATCGAACCCTCACACTGCGACTCCTAACAAAGTTGAGTATAAGTTCCTTCTTTAATTTTAGCCCACATAATAAACACATACAATTGATTATCTGGGCTACCCTAAGCCTTTGGTAGATTTAGATTTTTGTTTGGACTGTTTGAAGATCTTTGTTGGCTGGGATGGTCAGAAATTGGAGGTGACCCTTCTCAGTCCAGTCCAGGCCGGGCACTAAAGAATGGCACAGCTTTAAAATTATTGCATAACATTTGAGAGATATAGATAATTAAAATAGCTGTCCTTTTCCTCTGCTATTCTGTACCCATATTAATGTCAGTGAAGACACCATGTTTTTCAGTGCCACAGTTGTACTGGTTGATTCAAGACTCGTCCCATTCACTACAGACACAAACAAACTCCATTCATTAATGCATGCATCATCAGAATTAGTGGGGTGAGATGAGGTGGGAGCAGTGTAGTTATGATTGTTCGCTAAAATTAAGATAATTCAAATTACAATATTTCGGCCGTCGATTGAGTCCATCATCCCATTACTTTTATCTCTTTCACGCATTTAGAATGTTCGAGTTGTTGTGACTTGATAAAGTTTGGACATTTTAAATTGTAGTAATTTGAATGAAAAATTATACTACGTGTGCATATAAAATCATTCATAGTCCATAGACTATGTAAATTGCATGGGGTGAGGGGTAGTTGGGTCAAGTGAATGGGTGGGTGTTGTGAGAGGTGTAATCGGATAGGTATGACCATCCACTCAAATCGATATGAAACTATTCATGTCATAATATCTCAAACGTCAAGTGGGTTAGTCCACTGTCCACTTGCTTTATTTCTTTACCTTACCCACTTAGGACATTCGAAGTGTTGTAACTTAAATGATTTGAAATTCAAGATGTCATGATTTGAGTAAACGTTGTTGAGTAGTAAACTTGATTTGTGGACTAAATAATATGGGTTTAAGAATTTTGCTTATGGGTCCAAATCAATTAAAAGGCCCAACGTCCATAGCATTTTTAGAAGCATTATCTAGAAAAATCTATATAAATATCTAAGTAAGATATGTGATTTTATAAAGAATATCTAGAGAATTCTAGGAAAATATCTTGATGTGTGGTCTAAGTGTCTCTAGAAAATTGTGGACTAGAATCTTCTTGTAAACACTATATAAAGAGGTAGTGCCCTCCATTTTGTAATAAGCCAAAAAGGTGTGTAAAGTCTTGAATTTGAAAAATACAAGTTTTCTTTTTTCACTTCCTTCTTCCTATTAGTGTTGTCCTCTTAAAAGCCTTAACCAATCCAAGTTAGTAAACTCATCTTTCCTCCAATAAACTGGTATCAGAGCCCCAAGGTTCTTGTGAAAAATGGCAAGTGGGATGATTCCTTTTCAAGTCCCCCAACTCAACAAGGATAATTACGACAATTGGAGCATAAGGATGAAAGCATTGCTCCAGTCACAAGATACATGTGAGATTGTAGAGAAAGGCTACACGGAGTCACAAGACGAGGTTGCTCTATCCCAAGCACAAAGGGATAGTTTGAAGGATGCAAGGAAGAAGGACAAGAATGCGCTCACCCTCAAGCCTTAGATGAAGGCATGTTTGAGAAAGTAGCTACTATGAGTAAGGAAGCATGGGAGATCTTGCAAAACTCCCACAAAGGAGTTGAGAAGGTGAAAAAGGTTCAACTTCAAAAACTTGGAGGCGAGTTTGAAGCTTTGCATATGAAAGAATCGGAATCAATTTCTGATTACTTTTCTAGAGTATTAGCTATTGTGAATCAATTGAAAAGGAATAGAGAAAAGTTGAATGACACTCGAGTAATTGAGAAGATACTTAGGTCTTTAGATTCTAAATTTGACTACATAGTTGTAACCATTGAGGAATCTAAAGATCTAGATAGTATGAGTGTCGATCAACTCATGGGATCTTTACAAGTCCATGAAGAAAGACTAAGGAAGAAGGTGAAAGAAGAGCCATTAGAGCAAGCTCTTCAAACAAAGTTCACTTTGAACGAGGTGAAGGAAGGTTCAATAGTAGAAGAAGCCAAGAGGAAGAGGACGAGGACGAGGCCAAGGAAGAATTGCATTCTACAAGGAGGAAAGAAGACAAAGTTCATTTTCTACCAGAAGTCGCGGAAAAGGAAAAGATACGAGGCAAAATGAAGGACCAAGGTATGACAAATCTCAAATTAAATGTTACAATTGTAAAAAACTTGGTCATTATGCTTCAGAAAGTAGAAATATTACTAACCAAGTTGAGGAGAAAGCCAACTATGCTTGTCGGGGAAAGTGAAGTAGATCCTGCACTACTGTTGGCTTACAAAGGTGAAGAGAGCAGAGAAAAGAATACTTGGTATTTGGATACAAGAGCAAGCAACCATATGTGTGGAAGAAAAAACATGTTTGTGGAGTTTGATGAATCAGTAAGTGGCAACATTACCTTTGGAGATGAATCCAAAATCCTAGTGAAAAGAAAAGGTAAAATCTTGATCTGCTTGAAAAATGGTACGCATCAATTTATCTCAAATGTCTATTATGTGCCCAATATGAAGAATAACATTTTAAGTTTGGGACAACTCTTAGAGAAGGGCTATGATATTCATTTGAAAGATTATAGTTTTTCAATAAGATACCAAAGAGAAATTTTGATTGCTAAAGTCCCTATGACAAGAAATAGAATGTTTGCGTTAAGCATTCAAAATGATGTCGCTAAATGCTTAAAAGCTTGTTTTAAAGATTTATCTTGATTTTGGCACTTGAGATTTGGGCAACTTAATTTTGGAAGCTTAAAGTTGTTGAGTAAGAAGAAAATGGTGAAAGGTTTGCTTCCAATAAATCGTGCGGATCAATTGTGTGAAGGATGCTTACTTGGAAAGCATTCGAGAAAAAGTTTTCCAAAAGAAACATCTACAAGAGCTAAGAAGCCGCTAGAACTTGTACACTCCGATGTTTGTGGGCCAATTAATCCAAGCTCTCTCATTAAGAACAATTATTTTGTTCTTTTTATTGATGATTTCAGTAAAAAGACTTGGGTCTATTTTCTCAAACAAAAATTGGAAGTTTTTGAAACTTTTAAAAAGTTTAAAGCTTTCGTTGAAAAAGAAAGCGGATATAGTATAAAAGCCTTGAGATCGATAGAGGAGGAGAGTTCACCTCCAAAAAATTTGAGAAATATTGTGAGAAGAATGTAATTCGTCGCCCATTGACAATTACATACTCTCCACAACAAAATGAGTAGCCAAAAGAAAGAACAGATCCATTCTTAACATGGCCCGTTGCATGCTCAAAAGTAAGAGATTGTCCAAAGAACTTTGGGCTGAAGCTGTTAATTGTGCCGTGTATCTGTCTAACCGATCACCTTCTAGAAGTGTGTGGAATAAGACACCACAAGAAGCATGGAGTGGAAGAAAGCCCAACATCTCTCACTTACGAGTATTTGGGAGCATTGCATATGCTCATGTACCAGATCAAAAACGGTCCAAGTTAGATGACAAAAGTGAAAGGTATGTCTTCATCGGCTATGACTCTCACTCTAAAGACTACAAGTTGTATAATCTAAGCAATGAGAAGATCACCATAAGTAGAGATGTTAAGTAGAGATGTCGAGTTTGATGAAGAAGGAGCTTGGGATTGGGGTGTCCAAGAAGAAATGTATGACTTTTGTCATTCTTTGATGAAGAAGAACAAGAGAATGGAGAGCAGCAAGAGATTATCAGTCCACCTTTATCACCTACTCATGGAGATGCTTCTCCATCGTCTTCACAAGGAGAAAGTTCAAGCGAAAGGACACCACGAATGAGGAGTCTACAAGAGCTATATGAGGTAACCGAAAATCAAAATGATCTCACACTTTTTTGTTTTTTTGTCGATTGTGAACCAATAGGGTATGAAGAAGCGGTACAAAATAAAAGATGGAGAGGTGCCATGGATGAAGAGATTAAGACTATTGAGAAAAATGATACATGGAAGCTGACAACTCTTCCCAAAGAAAAGAGAGCAATCGGAGTTAAGTGGGTGTACAAGGTAAAGAAGAACGCTAAAGGA